ATTAAAGTAAACTATCCATGGACCTTGTAATTATACTGTATAGTGTATGTATGTGTATACATGGATGACAATTCTGTCACGTATATTTAATGTTGCGACTCGCTTATCTTAATGGTAGGGATGCACAGTATGATATATCATTCATCAAATATAATTCCACTTTGCCTGTCTCGGCATACTGGGGTAGTATTTTCTCTCATGATCATTTGTGTTTAATAATAACCAACAAAGAGATTGATTTCACAACAATTGCATTGGTTATTTTGCCATTTGGAATGTGACTTAAGAGTGCTGGATATTCTTTGAGGCAGACCAAAGGATAATTGCATCCAGAGGATGCAACTCACCCGGGAGGATGACCATTGTGGAGATGAAGTGATGAGATCAATTAATGTTCAGGAAATGTATGAATATAATTTACATGCAAATTTTAACAACGTGATATGCACCAGAACCTACACTATTTGTGTTTTAACTTCAATGAAAAAAAAATAGTATACCATAATCTTGTTGCCTTATGTAGTGGTACATATTGCATGATTACGATCGCACATTGCTTATAAAACATACACACCTCTGTTTTATTCCTGTGATGAGTCTTCAAATGCAGTTGCATATATGGATGCTATATACATCCACATTGCATTATATCATTGTACTGTATTGTGGCATCACAGGACTTTGAATGATGGCAAAGGCATGTCTAGGCCTTCATTCAGCAGTGGAAAGACAATGGATAAGGATGATGGTAAAGCCTTCAAATACATTTCCTAAGTAATAACTCAGGCATTTTGTTTTAGGCAACGTGCTATTGAGAGGCTGCCTCCTACCACTGGGATGGGGAAATTCCCCATAGGGTCACCATCAGCGGTGAGCATTGCTTCATTTGAAACACTTTAACTCTAACCACATCTTATTTACACTCTTTTATTTAATATTATTTATTTATGGGATAAACACAGGACCTGAAGCTGCCCATGAAGGCGCTATATAATAAAAGGACCGGGCATCTTCGTATCTCGACAGGACGAAAATATCATGCTCCTCCGAGCACCTCCAAAATGTCTCTCTTTATTTTTACTCTCATCCCTACTTTCAAAGGTTCCTTGGCCTTAACAGCCATTCAGGCCTCTCACAATCATTTTGCTGAGCTGAAGGTTATACCTTGGCTTGAAGGGAAATGTATTTGATGATCGCTACGATTTTAAACATCTGTAGCCGATACTTACGACTTGTAATACGCAGCATCAAAGATATTGAAGAAGAGATGTACCTATTGATATGTAAATAGCTAAGTGGTTGTTTAAATGTGGCCAGATCACCACTCTTGTTTGAAGTGGCCAATTATACCTTCATGCCAACATTAAAATTGGTTACTTAGACTATGCATTTTGATCAAATCCATTAGAGCCAAGAATGGCAATGATCACCGTTTCCATTATTCGTAAGAAATGGAAATGTTGCTAATAATATGATATAAAACATGCATTTTTTAAACAAATGTAAAGGCACAGCCCTGAAATTATTTACTCATGCTGCTAATTTGGCCTTCTCATCCACACTGGACAGACGTCTTGGAAGAGATGTAACTGTAAGTTGTGAATTTAACATGTTAAACATATTGAGGTCATGGGATAGATACAATAAAATAATATTTAGATAACATCACAATGTCCCAGGTTGGTGGATCAAATAATGATGGAGTCGTAAGACACCCACCTATCGACGGGAATGAAGTGCCTATAGGAGGCAGTACAGCGAGCAAGTTGGTAACATATCTGTGTAATGTGAATTCTTACATGGTATGTTTGGGTTTTTTGATTTAAAGCTTTCGCGACTGCAGGGATTAATATTCTTGGTTCTAATAATATATTTATATTATTTAAATAATAATATATTTATATTATTTTATTTCCCTTCTACGTGACTTTACCGAAAGAACCAAGAATATGTTGGGTTGTCTATAGGAACTCAGGTGACCACCAATTTCTATTCATACTAAAACAACTCGAAAAGGAGAATCTGGAAAAGGAGTAAGACTTTCCTTTGTATTACAGCATAATTATTATGATGTGGCTGGCTGGTGTTATGATTCCTGACAGAGTCACTATATATATGAATGTTTTTCATAAATGTCACATAAGCAAATTTTCATGCGTACAATATTAGAAGAGAAAAAGTTTTACTGCCTGGCTTTCTGCACATCACCGTGCCCCATCTGCGCGATTACATCACCCGCAGCGCCGATAGTTTACCTTGCACTCAAGTTTCAGGGACCTTCAAAAGGCAACCTGGAAAACGGCCTTTAACATAGTACAGTGGTACCCCGGAGATTGAACTTAATTCGTTCCAGAAGGCCATTCGAATACCGATTTGTTGGAGTTCTGGTGCGTTCGATCTCCGAGGTTCTACAGTATTCCGTGTTTCTGGAGACGGCGCTTGTGCGTACGTCAAATGCAGAGAAACGAACACACAAAGGGTCTCCCTGCTCAAAGCAACGCGGGGGCTTTACTCGTGTCCTTAAGAGAAGAAAGCGAAACGTAATCTGAAAAAAAAGGATGGAGAGAATGTAAAACGGCAATGGTTGAGAAAGCCACAGAGATCATTCCCCCATGGGGGGAAAAATAACAACACGTGGCTGTTCATCCTGGAGATATCTAAGGTGAAGGAACCCTTTCGTTTATCCGGGTGAGAGCACAGAGTAAAACTGCGTTTCTATTTGCAAATGCAGACAAGCGAAGACGGATGAAAAGCGTCACATCAGTATGATTACGTACATTCAAAATACAAACCTAAGGGACAGTGGTTGTTTGTTCACGTTGCTACAAAGGTTTTCGCGGTAGTTGCTTACATAGTGGCGTTCTGTGATGTATTTTTGGGTTGTACCGCAGGCCGTTCGGCATGATGTCCGACGTTTCGCTCCACGTGCCCACGAGAGATATTTGTCTCGTGATTTTTGCCACACATTTTCAGATGCCCCACCCCGCTTCACTCCCTTTGTTGCCATGATGCAGTGATTACGAATGAGACCCCGGGGGCACCACCTTGCCTCTCGTTAGCCGGCACACATATGTTGTACAGTATTTGAACGGCATGTGTGCGGTCAACAGTTTACTCGTAAATGCACCCTTGGCTCCCTTCCTAAATGCCCTTAAACATTATCACCACCATTCAGCTCTGGCATATGCAAGACGCTGGGTAATTGGCCTTATGCATGATAGGTAGCCTAAAGCATAAGACTCAATGATGTCCGAAGATAAATCCTTTGGTTTTATTTAATGTCTTCTGTTGGCATAGACATGAAGGCGTTTGTCTTAAAATAACATATTAATTACATATTAAAATGCGTATAGACACAAAGTGAATGTTCTCCTTTGAAATGTCAATATGCTGAGCTACGTATGGTATCTTCTTGGTTCTTTCGGTAAAGTCACGTAGAAGGGAAGTAATAAAATAATAAAAATAAAACATAATAAAACATAATAAAATTATGTTTTATTATTTTTATTATTTTATTACTTCCCTTCTACGTGACTTTACCGAAAGAACCAAGAAGATGAATCCCTGCAGTCACGAAAGCTTTAAATCAAAAACTACGTATGGTAACCAAAGCATTTATTTTAAAAAAAAGTGAGATTTCAATGTTTTTCTGTTTTTGTTCCGTTAGCAGACATGACCCAATATTGGTCATATATGCTGTGAAACGATATGAATCCACACCCACGTGGGGGATGCAATTTGCAGATCCTAAAATCTGTAATAGACCGTGATAACCACAGTGTTCGTCATATGTGTGTGCATGAACGCGTGCACACATAGGGTTCATGCACACACCAGCAAGGCATGGACACATGCACAAATACGTACATGCACACATCAGCTGTGCTTCAAAGACGGTCGCCCCACTGTAATTTCACCTCTATCAGTTTCCCACAAATATTCGACACAAAAATTCCGCAAATAATTTACGAGAATCATCTTCTTGGTTCTTTCGGTAAAGTCACGTAGAAGGGAAGTAATAAAATAATAAAAATAAAACATAATAAAATAATTCTCACGACGTTTCGGCCACAACGCAAGCAGCCGTCCTCAGGTGAAGAATGAAACACCACCAAGCTTGGAGCGTATATTTAAGCTGGGTTGGAGGGGGGGAAATTTACGAGAAGTCGTGAAATTTGGAATTCTCGATGGCGCTAACCACAAAGACGTGATTTCAGGATTCACTGATTTTTTTGGGGGGAGTTTCACGAGGTATTATGTACAGGACTTGTAGGGATTGACTCAGACTCCAAAGATCTACCATTATAACTATGGCACCGATCGTAGCTAACGACGCCGAGCTATGTCGACCGGCAAGATCATACTTAAAGTTATAGCTTTTAAGAAGTAGCCATTTCATATTTCTCATAAGGTACAGTGTTTACAAAGAAAGGGAAACGTGGCAGGTGAGAATGTTATTTTGCATCATGGGACCTCCTTTGCCAGTACCAAAATATGATAATAGGGTTTTCCCCTTTTTTCTGGCAACAAAACAGGTGTTACGATGTTAAAATACCAAACTGAAACCTTTTACAATCAGTTTCATGGACAATGCATATATTATCAAAGTATGTTTTCTTTTGCATTCTGACCACAAGTATTGTGGTTAATGCAGACATGATTCATTGTAAAAGGTTTCAGTTTGGTGTTTTAACATCTTAACACCTGTTTTGTTGCCAGAAAAAAGGGGAAAAAACCTATTATAAATATGATTTTTCTATCACACAGTGCAAATGAATACAAATGACAGCATGTGAATATGAATATTCACAAGCAATGTGCTTGAGTCCTGTCATTATATTCTGCCTAATCCATTCTGAAAAGCAATACTTTTTTAAACTGAAATAAAATGTTCAAGACTGAAATGAGGGAACTAAGATTTTTTACGTAAAAATAAATCTTCAACACACCATTATATGAATTTCCAATACCGCTCAATACAACACACAACTCTCATAATGTACTGCAGTCATGTTTATTAACAAAAAGCTATACATTCATCAGTCTCATAAACCAAATATACAACCTCTGAATTAAAAACATTTACAGAAGGTAACTGAAGCACAGAAAAAAGTTGCAAAGTCGATACAAAATGTACATATTTCTCCAACAATATACAGTATTTATATGCTTTAAAAAATTACAGTACGGTACTTATAGAAACGTAAAGAGCGATGCACACATTTGTAGATTGTCTTTGGGTTTCAATTCAATGTGCGCATCACGCCTCTGGCTGGATATATAAAGGACGTTTTATGCAAACAAGCACCCATTAAGATGGAATAACGATCTTAAGAACATCTGCACCGTGAACAATATAACATTGTATTCGTTGATTTCAATAACAGTTCTGGTTGAAGCAATAGACTACCGAATTTCACTCGGTAAAACAAATGAGCGATGCACAAAAAATACTGAAATATATTTCTGAATAACTTAATTCTGCTAGTGGTTGTGGTCAATTTGTATATTAAGAAGTCTACTTTGCTTTTTTTCTGGTAATTAAGGCTAGTCAACGTAGAAATGTATCTAGTATATACTATACAACTCCAGTAAAGTATACGTCCTTTCTTAACCAATCTGCCACAAATGAAAACATTTGAACTAAGTATTTTAACTTCTTTTAAACACGAGTTTAGTCACGAACAAAAGCTCAGTTTCTCGAGCAGAACAGAGGAGGGAGGATGTCATAGTCACGACAAGAACAACGACATTATTTAGTAACAGTAAATTTGCGCCGTGCAATATTTAGTGTATGCTCTGTTGCGTGTTAAAGATTACAGATTTAACAGTGGCGCTGTATGGGAAACAGGGACCAAATGTAAAAAAAAAATCTCTAGTCATGTACCTCATTTGGCTCCCCCATATATTCTTTAAGGCATAGTTTAGCTTGTAGGTTACACGAATGTACTTTGGCTTCAACATGACAGCACAATATGAATGGACGCGGACTGTAGAGGATAACTCACATTCATCACTAACCTCGTAGCACTTGACAGTTCACACGTCAAGTGAGTTAGCAATTGGTGACCTGTGTGCGTACGCAGTGTGCGAATTAGGCTTGGAGCAAATCTAATTGTACTGTATGACGATCAATTATGAGAAGTGATTGCGAGACAACAAAAAGCTCGGCCACCTTCATTAAATCCTGCCCAGTAATAGGGAAATATACGGTAGAATAACATTTCAGACAAACAGCTTTTTTTGGAGCAGAGAGATGATTTTGACACAGTAGTTGGAAATGGATTTTTACAATGTGGTAAGCTTGAAGAAATATATTCGTAGACATCTCATATATTTAAGTCGGTCAATATCGTGGCTGCCTTTTCATTTCTCAAAACATACATTTTTCCCCGATTCAAGGCAGTGTTCATGAAGATGGCGGAGTGGTGTATTTAATCTTGTTTGTGGACAGCTGTCAACGCAGTCCCTTGTATCCCTTCCATAAAAAGCAGTAATTGCTTTCTTTGTTCAGAAGAAGTGCAATTGACATTTTCATTCCAGAAAGTGCGGCTGTAATTGTATCATGATGGTTCAGTGGTGTAACTGAGATAATGTATCACTGGTTCGCTGTGTGCATGAGGGCTGCTGTTTCCACCAGGAATTTTAAAAACGTATCACACAAATATTAAAATTCTTACTCTTTGGATATTTCGGTAAAGCCACGTAGGTAGAAAAAATAATAGATCACGACGTTTCGATCGCAACACAAGCGTGACTTTACCGAAAGAACCATAGTATGGATTCCTGCAGTCACGAAAGCTTAAAATCAAGGTTAAAATCCTTATTACACAGTGGACTGTAGATATAGTTATTACTATTAGCCAAACAATATGGGACTGCGTGAGCCATGACTACCATCACTGAATTTCCACATGCCCTGGCAGTTCTGGTACAAATGAATAATGAGTAAGTGAAATGCTATGCTTGAAAAATTGTAGGTTTCTTTTAGGAGTCATTTGCCAGATCACGTAGATTAAGAATTCACCAGTGATGTCCACTATGTTGGTTTACTGTTAAAGAAATAACATAATTTAAATATTATTACAGGCTTTATATAATGATCTACATATAAATTAATTGGCTGCTGTCTTAAAATTAAGTTTCATTTGTAATCATTTTCCTTTGAATTGTTTTTGCAATAACAGTACATTTGGTTTCAATGAAAGTAATCATAACCATATGGTACATCCTAAGTAGTGATATTCTGCTTACACATTGAAGAAACAGATAAATAATGAGACTACCAGCACCTGCCTTTTTAATCCAATTAGCAACATGTTACTCCCAAAAACTGGTCATGTCGCAGTGCGATGTCTTTGTGCAACACAATTCTCTCTCCACAGCTTACGAACACAATTTCATCTGCAACCTCAGCAAACATAAGCCTTCATAGCATGTCAATGCATGTGCCACTTCACCATGCTTATTATACGTGCAACGCAATTACTGATAAATTAAACAGCACATGGGAAAAAAGTACCAACTGTGGATTATTTCAGGTGTGAAATTTTGGACAGTCTTTAAAAAAAAAATTAATGCATTGTGTGACAAGTTCTTCCCAATTTTACTTATGGGAATATTAGTAGCACACAGCAATGTGATGGTGCTTAATCAATTAACGATGTGAATTTCCAATGGCAGCAATCCTACAGCATGCAACCATTGCATAGCACCACTTACTGCCTGGCACCTGAGACATTATAAAAGGGGTTCTCAACCAGGTCCACAGACTCCAAGGAGATGTAAGCAGTAGACCTCGATGACCACATAAGAGTCCATATTTGGGAGAAAATAAAAATGGAATTTGTGTCTTTGGCATTTTACGTAAAAGTGCACTATACACTATTCCCGAAACCAGCCTGGAGGTTATGCGGTTAGAGTGGTCATCATATTAAACTATCTCCACTACAGGCTCTGGACCACCAATAGAGTTGAGTGCTACAAAATTGCTTGTTTGAAAAGAGAAACGCTGACTTTTGTCCTAATTCCAGTATTAATTTTCTGATTGTGGTTCTACATACGTATGTGAATGGTAATTTAAACAGACATTATAAAGCACTGGCCCAAATAGTACTTCCAACAGTATGTATGTTTGTCAATAAATGTAAAACCAATGTGTAAGAAGTCAGCAGTGGTAGTGACAAGAATATTCGAGTCTCAAGTATACAAATGTGTAATTCCCACCACTGGCTCACGAGATAAACACTACTGCATGCTCAATTACACATGTAGATTGTGAGTACCATTGTTATTTTAAAGTGTTGGCTTACTTGTAATCAGGGAGAGAATAAAAAGGCGGCAGAGTTTACATTGAGGGGAACATGTGCGATTGACAAGTATACAAAACAAGGCTGTTCATGCTGCCAGTGCTCCAGCTACCTGTAAGGGCCATAGTAACTACGTGGTTGAGAACCCCTAATCTACAAATCTCGGTTTAAGATGCCACTGGCCATGTGGTGTGCGATTACAGCGCTCGACTAACAATTGTAAATTTGTGAGTTCAAATCCTGGCTCACTCAGCCTGTCATCGCTCCAGAATTGATCAAATAAGTGCCACATAATGAGAGTGATCCTCTCATTAAGCCTGGTCCTGCTGTGGAAAATTAGAAATGTGGGATTTGTACAACCAGCTCTGGAATGTCAATAGATACGAGTGCTGTCCGATTGCTTACTTCAGCATAGCAGACACTTTCCTTTTCTGAAGCTTTATTTATATTTTCTCACTGAAATACATTTGCCAATGCTCAGCATCACCTTTAAATTAAGTACTTTTAAATGTAACCACAATCTAATTCGCACATTTGCATCTTCTGCATCAAGCTGGGTGGGAATACCAAATGTTTCCGAGAGCTCGGCTTGTGTGGTGATGCACTACAGGTCACGTGTTCAAGGGCGGAAACCAGTAGCCAGACATCCTGATGTGCAATAACACGTACAGAGCTTTTTCCACCCTTAAATATCACTCAGTCCATTCTTTAAAAGTAACAAGGTTAAACAATTAGCCTGGCACCATTAATATTCCAAACCCAATTAAAGATGTTTGTTTGAGGATGAAAAGGGTTATGTCCAGTGAGAAAGGGGATTTTTTTTCTCTTTTTCTTAGATGCTATTTGTAACTGGATGTTGTAAGGCAAAAGTCAATGACAGATCAGAGCCCATTCATCCGCTCATTCCAGGCAAGGAGTGACATCGCATTCTTAACAAAGGGTCACGTAGAGATCCTCTCATTGAATCTTGCTTCATCACTCCTTGAATTGAGGCTTGAGGGGCTTGGACAAATGGCGAGATGAGGGCAAAGAGGGCTTAAGGAGTCGTGCATACCAATCGTGGGTCCTCCAAAGAAAACAATGTTCGCTAGTTCAACGGTGAAATGTCAAAGTTCACAACTAATACTTATACATATGGAGGTGTGTCTGCTCAAAGTTCTACCCTTTAATGGGGTACTGGGCTGTTCCAGCCAGTATGTTCAGCTTGCTCCTTTGTCAAGCCAGCAATGCCTGGCAAATGTTTTACTTAGTTTAAGGGTTAAGTAGTATGTTGGTTTGATTATAATATACGGTGATGCCTTGCCACCTCACGACCCAATGGTATTTGTTACAGTCAAACAACGTATTTTCCTTCACGTTGTCCTGGGATGACTGCAGTTGGAATGCGCAGCAACCGCATTATCTTCTTCCGCATTATCCCGCTCATAGGTGTCTTTTCATGTGCAAGGCAAGGTGGTCTGACCTGGAGAAAGACCTGCAATGATCACAGCTTGCATTAGAATCTTGGATTGTGGGGATGAGAATGCATTTTGCTGTGTGCACCACCATAACCACAACCTTAATAATGTGTGAATAACAGATACAAATTGGTGAACAATATGGGTTATTTCCATTGTAATGAACGTAAGCACAATCGGTGCTGTTAAACGAAACTGTAAATATATTTGTATAATATAATCACTATACTTGCAGTCTTTTTTGGAAAGACTGGTTCCCATGAAGTGAAAAATGGATCTCACCTTCTCACGCATCAAATTAGAGCATATATATATACACACAGAATATTGATAATACTGGTTGCTAACATTCATCATCCATATTTCATTACAATACTTACCCAGAAAAACACCACCGAGACTGAAAATTACATGCATGGTTCAAAATGAAAACTCTTACAGACACCACCATGCTGCCCTGCAAATAGGTCATTCAGAGTTTTACGATCTCTGCGTGATCCATAAACTCAAAGTTGCTGTGTAATAGGAATGTGGCACTATACTCGTTTTAATCAGCAGAGCTCCGGCCTGTGCTTTCACAGACACCATTTAAAAAGTAACTTTGTTTATATAAAGTGTTTCCTAAATGCTGGACAAATTTCTTTATTTCCTGGGAAGACTGTTAGAATGTTCACAGACTTTGACCTTCAATAATGCACAACATAAATGTCATGAATGTGGCATACTTTAATTAAAAATTATATCTAAGCTTATTTACATCCCATTTGCATTATTGAATTGCATCTCGTCTGAAATAAAATTCACGTTATGCACAATTGAAGGTCAGAAGCTGTATTCCTGCATAATCATCTATTTTAATGCTAAATGCAGCCAATATGTTGTTTTCTTTTGTTAACCTTATCCTTATCGGCAGTGAGTGTGGTGCCAACCACAGAAACATGTCTGCAGGCCTCACTGGGCTTATCGGGCACTACATTTATGAAATACAGGGAAAAGGTTAGCGTCGGATTCCTGGAGAGAACATTATGCATGTAGTGCATATTAAATGATAGATAGAGCAATGCAGAAAGCTTTCATTCATTGATAGTACCAACAGAATGTAGTTTGGTCGAGGTGCCCTTTGCATTAATATTAAAGCCTCCCTGCTCTATCGAGCGCTGGGCAGCACTCATCCACCATCAGTGGCCCTGTGCGAGCGGTGGAAAGTACCACACATTACATCTCATGAATTAAGTGGAAGCCATTTTTAGGCGCGAGTGGGATGATGATGATATAAGTTGACCCCCAACTGCAATTTTAACTTACAACTGTCCGTTTGCGAGCCAAGCAGTCTAAACAAAGCACTTCCTGGCCAGATGCTGCTCTGAAAGTCTCTCATGTGAAAGGGGTACATTGCATTTTTATGAATTCCCGTTTCCGCGGGTGCACTGGCGACCTGGTATACACTACGTTGAGCCTTGACCACCATGTGAATTCAAAACCATTCACGTTACCAATGGAACCTTCACATTCTTACATGTGTATAATGTGGCAGAGTTGGCGACTTGACAATGTCATTCACAAAGAATAAAGGTACATGTTTAAATGCATGTAGCGATCAATCCATGTGCACTTGCCTGTCGCAGTGTGCGCACTTGAAAGGCTTCGCTCCTGTATGCTTGCGGTAGTGTCGTGTGAGCTCATCACTCCGCGCAAAGCGCCACTCGCACCCTTCCCAAGAGCACTTGTACGGCTTCTCTCCTGCTGCCACAAATGCCGTCCGACGAGACGTGGAGAAGAGGCAACGGCAAAGAGTGCGGTCAGTTCAAGTGGCCATGGTGATCAACACATAACCCAGTCCACACAGTGATTATTATCGAGTTGCGTGCTCATCTATTGTTGAGCAACAGCAGTTCAATGAAGGAGTATTTTTGTTTAAACCAGTTGCTGGAGATTACTATGATGTCAACTGCAGTTTGATACTTATCAGAAGATGTACGGTGGTGAAGCACACATATAAACTGATGTTCAGAAAGTGGGGTTGTTGTATCACACATGTTTCATTGCGTTTTGAGACTCCAAACTTGATCATCTGCGAGGTGGCCAACAGATGGCAGCGCAGGAAGTTCATTCCTGATTGTTCTGTGCAGTTTGTGGTCATCATCCACCTTGTAAGAGTGCTTTTTTCAGGGTAATACAATTTCCTCTGAAATGTAATAATACTAAAGAATTTTTTTTAAAGGAATGAATAGCCCACACATCGAAATGCAAGGCCATCACCTGATAGTGTTAGAACTCAATGAGGCTTTCCTGGATATACAAAATGTCTTATTACACATAACGGCCACCATTAACGATGGTCCCCGCATTACAATCGGTTAAGAGTCACTGGCTCAAACGGGGTACACTTTGCATGAGATTGGCTCTGCGTGGCTCTGTTCATATTGCTACTTGTGGATCAGGTTTAACATTTAGAAACATTAAATGAAACACATATTTTACAGAGTGCTATTGTGAAGTTATTGGGGTGAGTGCTAAACGATGAAACAATACGGAACAACCCTTATGGCGCTGATAACTGTTAATACTGCAATGGCGTAAATTGTAACATAAATTATGAGATCACTGTTACTCCATAGTGCGAGTTTGGCCAACTACACCCATGATAATGGCCGTGACAGCCAGCACAAAATATATTTTCACTCCTGGTCGACAAGAGGTAATTTATTCCAATGGAACTCTGTTACATTCATCATGCAACATAGATGCAATCATACATCCCCATCATCCATCATTTATAAGTAGTGATTTTTTTTTCTCCCTCCTCCTTGTACAGTCTACATGCTATTGATTCCATTATGAGTAAAATTTCCAACCGCGTGTATGCATTCACCACTGTTGAGTGCACCAGCTTGCATTACAGACTTACGATTACGCCCACTAATCCAGTGCTCGATCATTTTGTAAATAACGCTATCGATGTTTCCAATGCAGGGGACCTCAAAGGAGGGGGGGGGGGTCTGTGGACCTTCAGGGGACCAAAATGCATCAATAGCGGGGTTCAAGAATGTAAAGGAAGGCTCTCATTACATGCACACACCAACGCAATCAACACATATCCAGCTGCAACCTGTTGATGCTTTTTTTTGTTACTTCTGCCTCATTGGGCTGCAAAATGTACTAATATAGCACTAGTTGTAAGGGGTATTGATGCCTAAAGTAAAGTCACATGTTTATTGACTCAAACATGTAATTGAGCAGTACTCATCTTTATTGGTGGTCTCCAGGCTAGTGGTGGAAATTCCACATTCTAATGGTGGGGGCCTGTCTATCAACGTGAATACCACTCTTGGCTTCCCACAAAGTAGTACTGATATTCTGGGCCCCTGAAAGGATGATAGACGTATTTGTCCGGAATTTCAAATAGTGACCCTTCCAACTGAGTGCCAAGTGCTGTGCCAAAAGCCCCTCTTGGTCAGAGTGCACAACCAATGCTAAGAATTCTTAAAATGACTCATTTTGCTAAAACTTTATTCACTATGTAGAAGGGAAAAACAATCAACACAACACGATTTTATTGACAGATCTAGAAGCTGTTCATAAAGCATCCATGAGTCATTTAATAAACACGCTTATAAGAGTGCTGTGCTCACACTGATCTGTACACTGCACACCTTTCTTTTAATGTCGTTTTAAATCACTATTTTACACGATGGCTAAAGTGCAAATACAGATGCAGGCACTAGGGAGTTCAACCCAGTTCATAATACCACCATGCCTGTAGTGGATGGAAAGCGGATTAGCTTGGACAATGCAAGAACAAATTATACTTTCTGTCATTGTGCAACTTATCCCTTTAAGAACTGATTGGCTGTAAGGCGTCAGAGCAAAACGGTTTCCCTGCCAAAATGAGCACTGGAGCAGTGCTTTTTTATATTTGTGGCCCTGAGCTAGTGGTGCAAATTCCACGTTCCCAAGCCAGTCTCTAGGATGAACACTGCTGAGGTCCTACAAAGTGTAACTCATTTTTGTCAATCCCAGAAGAATGATGGGCTGAGTCGATCCATGATGAGAATTTCAACTTTCCAATTGTGAGCTGAATGATGTAATCACAGCACACCTGCCTGGATTATCATTCCTCATGTGTAGACAACATACCTATACCAATAACTCAGAGGTCTTAGGCACTAAAAGGTCATTATGAATCCATGCAAGGCTCCCAGATTAAATTACACCGTTACTGACTGCACTGCACAATGAGAATAAATTGAATAGCGAATGACATAAAACCATCCAGTGTACTTTATAAAGATTGACCTATCGTGTTAGAAAAGCATAGTATGATTCATTCCTAAAGCCAAAATGATGTAAGTGACATTGCTTTGGTCAAAGAAAAGCTTGCCTCTGCAAAACACAAATAGTAAATAATGAAACAAAGAAGCATGTGATATAAGGTAGGTGTCAAATGTGTGTCAAGTAGCTCCACCATGACTGTAAAAAACAAAGAAGAAGGTGGTAGAGTAGAATAAAAAATGATTGGCATCGCAGTGTTTCATATTTTTATTTATCACTCTGATGAGTGGTTGCGCCTCAAGTGGTTGCAGGAATAATGTGAATCTTACGTATATACAAATTGAAAACACTGACTCTTACACTATGCGATGCAGGTTTATCGAGCTTAAGAATCGATATGAATTTATAAATTAATGTATTGTTCCGCCACTAGTGGTTGCAAAATGATAATGAGCACTCCTGATTCTATATTGAAATGTGCGTTTCAACCAACATTGACTAAACTAGGTTCTCAATCAAGAGTAATGGCTTCAACCTGGTCACCAATGACTGCAAAAACCCAACATATTCCACTTCTGTGAATTAGAGATTTTGGTTTTCAGGGTTACATACAGATGCATACATTTGTGGGACACAAAAGCCAAGTTAAAATGATTATACGATAGTTTTGCGTCGTTCCCCGACACGACGTTCAAGTAGCAGCACAATCAGAAACCGATGTTGGATAAACCAATGCACCAGACAGATAAACTGAATGCAATGATTTGAGTGCAGATGGTGTGTCAGGTGATCGTGCAGTGTGCAACATCCGCTCACTCACCTGTGTGTGTGCGCTGGTGGGCCTTCAGGTGGGAGCTTTTGGTGTAAACTTTCCGACAGCCACTGAAGGGACAGTGGTGAATCCTCTTCTTTCCATCGGGCGAGCCTTCCGGGTCCACTAATTTGCCAGTCACAGTCATCGCTTTTACCTGCAACTTATCTGTGTGGCTGTCGTGCAGTGAGATGTGCAGCTGAGACTGCTGCTGAAGGTGGAGGTGGAGCTGGAGGTGGTGCTGTTGCTGATGGTGGAGGGCGGCCGTCTCAGCCAAGTCAATCTCGGCACATGCCTCTGCCCGTTCGTCTAGTCCAAGGTTGAGTTCGGTCAGGTCCGAGTGCTCGGGCGACGATGGCGGCGTGAGGCTTCCACTCGCCTCGCTCAGCCGCTCCTCGGCACCAGGTGACGGCACCGAGTCCCAGGATCCGCTGCTTCCCGCGGGGCTCGCACTGCCATGCGCCGTGAGGCACGGGTCTCTGCCGTCCGTGAACGATGACGCCGCAGCTGTAGCTGGAATGGTGACGGGAGAGGCAATGGTGGTGGCGGCCGCACCGCCGAGGTCCTGCTGCAGCGGAGCTGCGATGGGTGTCGCTGTGACGAGAGCAGACTCGCTCTGCTCGGAGCAGGCGGCGATAAATCTCTGCCAGGGACTCTTCTCGGCATCACTGCCGCTCGCCGGGCACCGGCCTCCCATGCAGGGCTCCGTCTGCAGGTACCGCTCCATTTCCAGGCAGATCTGGGGCCATTCAAAACAAGGTAAGGGGAGTTTGATGATTAAGACGAGGGGATATATAATGTTTGGTCAACTGAACATGCCACTTTCAATCAGATTCCCAGAGGTGTTTGTTTAAACATTACAAACCTCTGTTTTGTGTGCCACACAGTTATGATCTGGCTGGGTAGAGCTATGGCAGATGTTTATGAAAGTAAAAGTATCTGAGGCATCAATAGGAAGAATATGACTGCGTTGGTGTCGTAACCCAAATATGAATATAGGCTAACGCTAGTTATAACATTCGACTGACATTTAAAAAAAACGTGAAAATCCCACTACTGTCTTTAGGGCCACTGGTGAATATTGGGCACAGCCGATCTTTAGCACAGAGACATGTGACTCTTTTTTTTTTATCCCTGTTGAATGAATTGAAAACAGTCTCGGTTTGCGTTAAAAAAACGCGACTGAAAAACACTTGTCAATGGAATCTATATTTGAAGCTTTCCTGACTGCAAGGATTCATACTCTTAGTTATTTCGGTAAAGTCACGTAGGTGACTTTACCGAAAGAACTAAGAGTATACTTGTCAATGGAATCAATGTTATTTTATTTCAGCAGCTGTTTGTTTATTATGACCCAATATCCAGTGACAGCAAATAATTATATTATAGTTAAAGCTGTTAGGGCCCAAAGGATCACACAGGAATGAAGGCTCTAGCAGACACGAGAGATGGTGATAATTGAAAAGGGGCTAATCTTTGTCCGAAACACTTACATTTGAAAAACATCACGCTAAAATTAAAGGATACGTTTTGTTAATTCATGGTCGTGCAGTACAGTATTGGCACTCATGTGTTACATGCAGTAGGTTACTGGAATCAGATTACTAGAGACAGGTACTCTTAAAGCGTTACTATCACCATGTTTTTTATGCCGTCAAATTACAGGCAGCCTGTTCTTATGAATTCCATTTACAAATTGTAGAATGACTTTTAAAAAATACATTAAAATAATCATGTAAGCAGCTTGAGTTAATATAAGCCAAGCAATGGGCAATATATTCTAGAGCAAGCTATGAAGCCGACAACGTAGAACACCGTTCTGTGTTGTTATTTCCAAGGTTAACGTGAATAATTTAATCCTTAAATACATGAACCTATTTTGCTTTGAAAATACTAAACATGGGATTACACTGTGTAAGAAAAAATCTTTTTTTTTGTTCCTGGGTAGTAAGTGTTATTTGCTAATTGTTTATTCCTCAAAAGTACAGAAAATGGCTATTATTCCCCACAAACTTTGCTTTTGTGACCAGGACAACGATATTTAGAAATTGACCTATTTTCAATGAGAAAACGTGTGCATTTGTGTCTTTCCTTCACATAAAGTCCTGGTCACAAAAGCAAAGTTTGTGGGGAATAATAGCCATTTTCCGTACTTTTGAGGTGTAAGTAATTAGAAAATAACACTTAGTACCCAGGAACAAAAATAGTGTTACAAATTGTTATCAAGCACATGATGAGTCACGTCATCCCCCATAGTTTAATATTCACAATTGTGATAGTTCAATCTAATAATGATTTTGTTTCATTCATCTGTCTCATTGCGTACAATTCCTTTCATCAGCCTAAAGCAACAATTACTTGTAAGTTACATAAATTGTTTAGACTTAATTAAGTGCACAATACGTCAGTTTAAGAATCTCTGTGAGTCAGTGAATAATTATATTCCTTCTGTTATTTCTAAATCCTCAAATAATCAGTAAACCAACAATGATTATATTTTAAACTTAACCCATCCAACACTGTACAATGAGCATAGCAGATGCATCTAAGATAGCTGAGAAACCGATTAGTATTTGTCAAAAATCCCAAATAACTTTTGTTTTTAAGTCCATTGTGTTTTGGAAAATAAAGCCAGATGTTTTGCGTACTCGTGTGGAATTTGATCATTAATGACACAGTTTTCCAAAGAATAATTAATTAACTACCTGGTTTAACATTTCCGCTGAGCTGTGCGTGATTGTGGCATCTTCAATTAGCTTAATTTCCCACCGGTCGTTTAAAGAGAGCTCCGAGGTTAGAGTGGAGTAAATCGGGGGGCAGTCTCTATAAAAGTCTTCAGGACAGTACAGGACTTGAAGTGATTTTCTTTGTAAACTAAGTGGGCTGAGGTCTTCCCTCATACTTCCTCTCGGTGGAACTTCTCGGATGCTGGGTTTTATATAAACATTCTAAAATTGCTTCGCTCTTGAAATGCCATTCCTCCGCATGGCCAAGATCCAATTATGAAGAGCCAGGGAGAATGGGAAAATAATATAAGGAATTTTAGCAGCGTGGATAATATTCTGCATTAGCAAGTTTGATGCTGGATTTTTTTTAATTAGATATTTTTTGTGTTCTTTACATGCCATTTCGGCTTAAATTTTGTAGTAACGTGATATACTGTTGTTGGGTTGTTATATTGTTTAAGTTTGTGTCTCGGTGCTCAAACAAGCATGGGGGCAGTGCTCAATCTCCGTTGCTGGTCCTGAGGTAGAGATGAAACTTTTAAATTCATATGGTGGGGGAAGAGTCTCTTCAAATAATAATTACTTTCATCAGGGATCTATGGAGATATTGGCCCTGGTTTTAAATCATGGGTTAACCCAGCTCATCATTCCCTTGGAGGTTAATAAATAAACCACTAATTTTACTTTGTAAGTCAGCAGGAGTTGCTCTCTGGACAGAATGGCACTTGCTATTTGGATGCAGAATTAAGAAATTTCCCAATGCGATCATTAAACCTAAGTACTGCTCCAAAGCTCGTTTGACATGACAGACACCTTTAGTTTATTTTATTCATAAAAGTATTGTTTAAAAAAGATGCACAATTCAGTCCACGTCATGTAAACTGTTGAAAATCAATTAAAGCAGCACACGTGTTGCAATGAAAATCAGTGCAAAGACACTGCAAGGATACACGTTGATGTAAAAACAAATAACACGCACATAAAAAAACCGCAGGACTGGAATGTATCCCAGAAGTGAATCAGTTGGGACATGTTATTCCACAACTTTGTGAAAATTCGCATTCAACTGTGATGATAATGGAAGTGGTGGGAGGCGTCAATGTTGTTAAACACACACGCGCGCACGCACCCACACACGAACACCGACACCCACGCATGCCCCCCCCCCGTCCCCTCCCCTAAACGAAACCTCATTGGCGCATACGCGCGGATTACCATATAAGGCAAAGCGCGTGAATTTGGCTTGGACCCAACCCACTTTTCAATCACGCACACCCCCGCACAAAACGGACCAATGGGGGCAAAGGAACGATGCCCCCTCCCCTTACCCACCACCATCTCTTAGCTGCATCCAATCAGGTGGTGACAAAGCACACATTCAAGCAAGACGGAAAAGCACACGCATTGATCAGAGAGAAATAACAAGGGATAGTGGTCCCAATTGTATGACCGTTGTGTAACACCTCACACTCACACCTCCCCCTCCCAGGCTCTCACCTGGTTAAGAAATTCATAAATTATTTATTCTATTTACACTATATAACAATGATGGATGTTTGTTACTGTTGCTGTTGTATGATTTGCATTTGGAGATATATCCACTGCTAGATAATAGCACATTTGATTAGCTACGCACAGTGAAAAATAAGTTCAACATTCATATATAGACTATATTACGATAAATTTCGATTTAAAGCTTTCGTGACCGCAGGGATTCATCTTCTTGGTTCTTTCGGTAAAGTCACGTAGAAGGGAAGTAATAAAATAATAAAAATAAAACATAAAACAATTCTCACGACGTTTCGGCCACAACGCAAGCAGCCGTCCTCAGGTGAAAACCAGGTCTGTCGAGGCGACAGCGTCTGTTTCATTCAGACTCTGTCGCCTCGACAGACCTGGTTTTCGATAATTCACTATATTTAGATTAACCTATTTATGGAGCAATTTTCGTACCTGTTTCCATTTCTTAATTTGCGCATTGGTATCCCACATGGCTTGCATTTGGTACCCATTGCAGGTGACAGTCTCAACAGGCTCTCACCTGTTTTAAATAAAGAACCAAACTGAACACTCATGTGTGGTGTCGATCCACTATTATGGGTGTTATATGTATATCATAAGTTATATCAGTATGTATTCATGTGTGAAGCAAAAAATACAGCAGACCATTTTCTCCGAGCGCAATGACAGCATGTCCCTGCATTATAACAATGTATCCGTTTTTATGAGATCAGGGCAAGGCTGCAGGAAACAACTTAAAAAAAAATTCCATTAAGTTTCTTATCTAAATTAATGAAAATTAAGGGCATTTATAGGTTGCTTAAGTTGTCTTATGCAAACCAGCACAGAGTGGTACTCATAACTACATGATATAAATCAGCAGAGAAAACTGAACCCGTGTGTGGGTCACGATTAAGTGCAAGTACGTAAGCCACTGCACCACCAAACACACACGTAAGTGCCCCTACATGATGCTAATGTATTATACTGTGCAACCATTATAAAAGTTGATGAGGCTTGTATGGAAGATATGGGGGAGGGGTGGTCAGTGAGCAATCCTCCCTTCACTCATATTTGTATCTTCCCATGCCCTGAGCGGGAAGCCTCGGGACATCCCGGCGCAGATGCATAGTTGGCATTCCTGAGTCAGCAGAGGGTCACTGGAGGCGTGCGTGGGCTCTTCTGTCTGCACCGCTTGCTGGGAGCAGCACAAGTGCAGGGACCGCTGGGACAACGCCAGCTGAGCTGGCCCCACCAGCTGACGAGTCTTTATTTTAAATCTCAGCTGTGTAAGATCCTTTAGCAACTTGAAATCGTGGAAGAGCTTTTGAGAATGTAGGGCATGTGTTTTATTCGTTATTAGTACATAATTTAAACAATGTGTCTCCCTACTCAAATGGCAATGGGGTGGCGCTCAACCCTGAGCCAGAAGTGGAAATTCCACATTCCAATGACGGGGCTCAGCATGTCACAATGGGTCTCATTTTACTAACTTTGGAGGAATGGTGGCTTGTGTTGAATAAGAACAGGAACGTAAACATATGTATTGCGCATTTCCATGTAGAGATACTGCAGAACAATTCAGTATCTGTGTTGTGTTCTTTGTGACAAGAAGTTATGCATTGAGCAATGTGCAAATGTGTTTTAAAGGAGCCTTGCACATATCCGCTGATGTCCAGGAAGCACACCTCATCCGAGAAGGAACTAAAAACGTAATATTATGCAGCAATCAGTTTGACATGCAGCAAACCAAGAGAATAAGGAAGAGCTTGGATAACCAGACTAACGCAGGCATGCTGGTCCTAACACAAGTCGCATAATTGATGGTAACTTGCACCAGGATGAAATGCTGAACCATTATGGGGTTTGAACTCCAACTATAAAGGGACTATGATGTTACTCAGACAAGTGCAACAGCCAGTCTCAGAACATGGAATGCTAAGTTTCAACTTGGAATGCTGTAGTAATATATATACACAAAAAAATAGGCCAGTACAGATTTTTTACTTGATATAGCAAGCGATTGGAAGTGAAGACCAGTATGGAATTTTAACTCAAGACATTTCTGAGATTCGGATTGAAGAGTATGTGTTATGTCAAACAGAATATTTTGGGTCCAACTTAAAAATGACGAACATATAAAAGTCTAACCAAGTCTATTGTTTACTTTCTTGGTTTGTGAGGTTTTTGTTTTTACATTGCTATGGGATCCAATTTCATTCACTGTGTCTCGAGTGGTAATGTGGCTATAGTGCTCAACTCACAATCGTAGATTTGTAATTTAAAATCCTAGTCATTGATTGCTCTATGGAGAGACTGGCTGCTGCCATGGGAATGTAGAATTTGCACAACTAACTCAGGAGGACCCACAGACATGAGCACCACCCAACACTTATTTGAGGAAAACAGATCCTTTCACTCTTTCAGCACATCAGCCGCCTCATCGCAAGCTTCGATGTTAAGCACCACTCATATGTCGACGACACTATTCTGTTCACCGCCATCAATTCTACCAATGCGTCTGCATTAGAGAGGCTCTCGGAATGCACCGCTGCCTTGAAACAGTGGTTCTCTGCACAGAACCTTGCCCTTAATGCGTCAAAGTCAGTGGCCATCGTGTTAGGTACCAGGCAACGTCTCAACTCATCAGTGCTCCCAACACACATACACATCTTTGGTCCCAGCATCAGGTTCACCGATCTCTTCAGCTACCTCGGTGTCATCCTAGATTCAACTTTATCCTTCGACCATCAAACCAATCATATCATCAGTTCATGTAACTTTCACCTGAAGGCTCTCAGACACCTACATCCTCTCATCTCCACTGAAACTTCCAACACATTGGCATGTTGCATAGTTGGTTATCCGTCCTAGTCTGGTCCTCCTCTGGCAACCTAAAAAAACTTCAAAGACTACAAAATAACCTGGCACGCGTCGTCATTGGCCGCACTCATCCCCGTCTCGACTCACCTGCCTCTCTCCATGCCCTCCACTGGCTACCCATTGCCAGCAGGGTCACATACAAGATCGCCTGCCTCTGCCCCCATGCCTTCACACCTGCCTGCCCCCCGTACCTCTCTCCATTATTGACGACTTGCAGCACAGCACCCGGCAGATGTCTTCACAGTGTGACTCACGACCTCATCTTAATACCAATATCCAGGATGGTCACGTCTATTCGCTGCTTCTCGGTGGCTGCCCCTACAGTCTGGAACGCAATCACTCTGCACATTTGCAGCATAGCCTCAATCGTCTCCTTCAAGAGACACTTAAAAACTCACCTCTACAACCATGCTTTCGAGTGACTCTGAGCTCGGCTCCGCGCCTCTGAGTTGCGGCCATTACGTCCGCAAATTTGTGGCGCGTTATAAATTGCATTATTATAGCGCTTCATCGTGCCTACGCACTATTGAATACGTTGATGTTTGAATAAACTGTAAATGAATGAAGTGGCCTTTTTCCAAGAGCATAACGAAGCCAAGAGGCTATTGTTTTGTGCAGCAAGCGGAAGGTGTGCACAAGCCACAGTTTCTGTGCCCCACAATATTAAGGAGAGCACACACATACGCACGACCTTCCCTTTCCTGTCTTTCTTATATTAGGTTGTCCAAACTACACTTCCACAGTAATAACAGCAGGAGTGCTTGTAACGTCATGTGACGTGTGTGTGCCTACTGAAATCCCAGATCACACTAAAAAACACTATGTGCCAATGTCCACTGCTGCTTGCTGCACACAATACTGTATATAGTCTCCTTCCTTAAAGAGTCATGTGGAGCAGTGCTCACCCTAATTGGTAGCTCAGGGCTACATATTGGGATGAGAAACCAGTCACATTTACATGTTGTAGATGAGACACAACTGAGATACAAATGAACATATATATTGGGGACATATATCCTCTTCCATTTCATGATATATCTAGTAAAACACATGCTATTGTTTTTACTTATATGATCAGGAGGTGCCCATTGATTGTCCTCTCTCTTCCAAGTCTTGTCATGATTGTAAAATACACTATGAACCATCAATATCCTTTATTTTGCCAGATGAAAACCGAGTGATGTTCACTATCCATTTAGACTTATGTCGTTCGTAAAAAAATATCTGATCCAAGGCCGGAGACATGGAGTCAACATTGGGGGGGACCAAATCTTCCAGGGAGTCTGGGGGTCCCCCCTCCAGAAAAAAAAATCTAAATTTGAAAACGAACTTCCTACCATTTCCTGCCTAAAATATAAAATAATTCACTAACACATAGGGTGGACTTTTTATTTATTTTTTACAATAATGTATAAGTGTATTGTATTACATTGCTGTTTTTTTTATGTTTTACCTTTTCTTGTTTCATTGTATGTAATGGCAGAGATTAGGGATTCATAAAGTACAACCATAACCACAATCATATAAACAGAAATCTATTTTATAACAATATATTGGGGGGGACATTTTGAGCATATTTGAATATATAATTATGGCCTTGATCTGATCAACCTATTTTTAAGCAGGGGAGAGCCCACTAGTGTTCACTGTACATTTTGTAAGGGATGACTACCATTGACTAAAATCATTTTTTGGTACTGGTATTCAAAATTGCAAAACTTGAATGAAATAAATCAACAGGACTTATTTTTGTCAATTGACAGCACCATACCATTTATTAAACCAAACCTGTTGCCAAATAATATCACGTTTTCAAAGGGATATCTATATACCTGTTGCATTTACAATATTATAAGAGGTGTGTAGTTTTACATATTTGTCTACGGATTGCTATATTATACCATATTGCATTTCACCAAGTGAAAACCCAATGATACAGTGAAACTAAAGCATCTGGAATATTGTACTGGTGATTGCAACCGCTTTTAAACATTTGTGCAAAACAAGACTTCTGTATAATAGGCTTCAAAATAAACAGTGGCTGTTAACAAAACATGTTATTGCACACACAGACCTTTTGATGTTTACATGAGCTAAAGTCAGCGAACGTATACACATATACACATAAATAATTTTAAACCAAACCCTCAAGTGATGTCTGGATATTAATAGGTGAAACTTGAAATTTAGTTCTCATTGAGATACATATTTCTACGTGAATATTAGCCACGATAGTTGTGGAAAACGGCTGGAATTACTAGTGTTGTGTAGACTGTATACAATAAGACAATACAATAAATAGTATAAACACCTGTTGTATTTGCATACACCAACCCATACTGTCATGCTGTATTGCAATGTCCCTGTACAGCACACAGCACAACATTCTAGATATTGAGGACCCTTTCCATACCTCTTCAATTAGTGCATTTAAATCCCAATACCGGTTGCACAATTTAGAGTTCAGTCTGTATGGGATATAGTATTGCCCCCTCGCACGCAATGATTTTCCCCGGGTCCTCCGGCTTCCTCCCACATTTTTGACCACTCATTAATTGGCTGAAAATTCCTTAATATTTCGAGGACTCGAGAACTTCGGAAATTGGCTGTGGTTCCTCGTCCCGTCTCTGAGTGCGTGAATCATGTGCGGCTGAGGTGCGTTGCAAGTAAAAACCATTATTGTTACAAGTACAATCATTATTATTGTTGTAAGTAGTTACAGATCACTTTCGCTTAATTTCCAAAGCAACCATTATTATTTCGTATTGGGTGTATTGCAACAATTCAAGGTGTCCACATTCCACATTGTATACAATTTGAAGCGTCCAAATTAATTGCAATGACATTACAGTTGTGTTTGTATAAAATGCAGCATTTTATATGCACAGACATAACACGACCTTGCAGGCGCAGAAATACGGCCAAATTATAAATTGCACAAACACGTTAATTCACAATTCTTAAAATGTATATTCAGCACAACACATAAGCACAATGAAATTAACAGTCTAGATACGTGACATTGTAAATGGTATACATAACTGTCCAGTGTATAGTATGTTTGCAATGAAATCGTATTAAGACTACACAGTATAATGAAATGTAAACTGAAAATTGGACATCCACAGTACCCTGCTGATTGAATAGATGGTGCAATGTCATGTGGAATACAGCAATTTTAAATATTAAAAAACGTGAAGAAATTGAATATTGCTCATGGTATGGTGTTGTGCTATCGTGCAATGCTAGTTATAATTGTACCAACTTTAGTGTGCACTTCTCATTTTCATCCCATGCAAAAACACGCATGAGCACATCATACATACCGTTATATATAGAGAAATAGTAACATATATGTAGTTTACACACAGTCATATAGATTGTACAGTACTTATATATGAAAAAAAATGCAGATCCTCAATTCAGTCTGATGTTAGCACCCACTAATGCACACGCCCATTCTTTAATGCACCTTTTAATACACGCATGCACAAATCGCACACGTGTATACACTCACACACATGTGAGCTCTCCTCCTCACCTGTTGCCAGGTCTCCTCCAGGGATGGCATTGCAGAGAAGTAGCCCGTGTCGTGCACTATCTGCAGCTCCTGGAAGATGCTGTAGCTGGGCAGCACGTCCATGGCTCTCCTTCCTTCTTCTCTGGCTCTACAGGTACACGTATATCCAGGCCCTTCGCAGGTGTGGCGGTGTCACTTCTCAGTAGGAATGCTCCTACGTCCACACCTGTCTATTGCAGCAGAACAAGCCCAGGGGGGGGGGGGGCTATGACTGCAAAACCTGCGCACACAAAACTAAACCTATTCGTACCTATTTCGCTCCTGCTAATCATGCAAATGCATTGAAGCAACACTGCAATTGAAAAAACACGCTGCTCCGCAAGGGCAACCTCGCGCATAAATCGCTGTCATGTAACAACGGTAATGATGCTGTGTGTTGCTGTTGTTGTTTATGTAGCTCTTGCTGCTGCACGAACACCGCTGTTTGTTAACACGCTGCAATGAGCGCACGTTCCATCCCAAACACGCGCTCGCTCCTTATATATATAGGCTGGCACGCACGAGCGTCGTGACGTCATGCCGCGCGTGCTACGGGGGGGGGGCGGGGTTGTCTGATGAGGCGGGGTGGGGTTAAGTGCAATCGTACCTCGCCTCGATTAGCCAATAGGGCGACGTCGCCTGTACGAATTCGACCAATCAACGCGAGGGCTTCGGTTGAGGTGCGCGCTACGATTGGTCGGCGTCGTGGTTGGGGGCGTGGCTCGTCGCGCCTTGTTTGGAAGAAACGAAGGAGGGGGCGGGGCGAGGGGCGGGGCGAGGCGAGGGGCGGGGGAGAGAGAGGGCGGGGGGGTCGCGCTATTTCGGGCGCGCTATAAAAGGCGGAGAGCGCGGCGAGCTCGCGGGCAGAGTGTTGAGTGCAAGCGAGATGATGTTAGCTGTGTCGCCTGTGTTACTATTAGTGTGATGGTTTTGCAAAAAAAAAAAGCCGTATGAACACCGCAAGCTGTTAGTGTTCCACGTTAAAGATCATACCGGTATTGTCATTTTTTTTAAGTTGCGCAAAGGTTTAAAAGTAACCGCTTTACGTCGACGTCAGCTATCTACCTCTCTCTCTCCACGTCACCTCGGGTGGTCATTGCACGTGTGCTTGAGTGCACCTCGAAATACCCCATGCTGAGTTGATTTATATCATTATTGTAGACGTATAGAAGTAACCAATCGTCACATTTACGATTGTCCTGCATCTCCAATTAGCGCGGTTGGCTGCGTACGGTGCGAAAGAAGTCGCAATATTGTTTTACGATTTGCAATTACCAGATAACGATTTTTCAATTTGCAGAGGTTATTTATCATTCAGAGAAATTGGCATTGAAGACTACAAATTTGGCAAACCAACATATGTGTGTTCCCATTCAAAAATGCAGAGGTTTTGTCCACTATTCTAGAGCATTCTCCAGACATGCTTGCTGAGCGAGTGCGGTTTGGCTGAGAAATACGCCAAACAGTCACGTACACATAAAGGGAGATGTGACATTTTCAATGGCATGTGTCAAATTAAATGGCCTAAGTGAACGGGGGTAAACGTGAGCAAGCATTGCGTTCCTAAATCAACAAATGCGCCTTTTATAATTGCTTGCATGAGGCAAGAGTGCACAAACGACTGTGCAATGCTGTGTGGCTGCTGCTGCACTCCCAGATAGCAACAGCCTTATCTGTGAGAAGCACGTGTGTAGAGGGCCAGCTACAGCCCCTGCCGACCCATTGCTAATATACATACACATGTGCATGCATAAGCAATATGTGTAATATACACATTACTGAATTCCATCACCACTCTCTGTCTCATACACACGTGTATATGCGTTCATATGCAAATGTAATTATTCGAAAAATATGAACGCTAACCCATATTTCTCAAGTCTCAGGGATTACTGGTGAGACTGTCATTCACAATGTTCAGTGTCTCAAGGCCATGCAATGGATGCCCACGTATTTTTTGGTTGTTTACCTAAAAATAATTAACTCGGCCCTATTTAAAGCAATGCACCGGCAGCTGCTACTGACGGTTCAGGTCTTGTGCAAGGGTCAGATCCCAAAGTTTCGTCTTGCAGTCGTTCTATTTAAAAAAATACTCAGGAACCTATGACTTCTACGCAAACTCATTTAATAACTACCCTCCACCCAGCAGTATACAGTACTGTAAATGGGTTCACCACAGTTGATCTGCATGCAGATTGCATTAGGTGGGGCAAACGTTTTGGTGCGCCTAGCACTTCCAAAAGACGCCTGGTCAGCATGGAAGAGTAGGCCAAAGACCGTCTAGAGTTTCCACAAGTGGTGACCCTTCCAGCAGCAACTAGGGCAAATGTACCACGCGGTGCCATCTGTACGTTCGCATGTGCCAATCGGTTACTTCCATACAAAAAAATCATTGGAAACGGTTACCAGTTCATACCTTTTGGAATCAGTAATTGATTCTAAGAACGGTTACCGGTTTGCCGATTGTTGTGTAACAACCCTAATACAAACGAAAAAACTGAATATATCCTGCACATATTCTTAGTTTTTTTTTGGTAAAGTCACGTAGGTAAAAAATTACAATTAATAAAAGTTAAATTTAAAAAATCACGACGTTTCGGAGGCAACACAAGCTTCTGTCTTCAGGTGGGTATCGTACTGTGACGGTTCCATCTGAAGACGGAAGCTTGTGTTGCCTCCGAAACGTCGTGATTTTTTTTATTTTACTTTTATTAATTTTAATTTTTTACCTACGTGACTTTACCGAAAAAACCTAAGAATATGAATTATTGTAGTCACGAAAGCTTCAAATCTAGAATTATATCCTGTACATTTGTTACCATGCCCACCATTCATACACAGTGCACCTGCATTATGAACCAAGTTTAATTTCCAGACCACAGCTAACATCAGTAATGAGTGATATCTGAACCGGTCCTGGACCCCCTCAAACAGCCTGCACTGACCAGCGAGGCGAATAGAATACAATTTGGGTTTATGGAGCGTCCAAATACAATGGATCGAAAGGGAAGCGTATTTTTTTTATTTTATATAAATACAATTGAAATCACTGTCTAGATTGGGGGACAGTCTTGGGGATTAAAAATGAAACCATTGAGCCTGGACTTTAACAGCGGGAGGGAAGCACGGGTGACGAGAAGGAGGGAGATTCCAGGCCTACGAGTGACCTCCCATTGAGAGAGCGTCTTAAAATAATAATCTTAACCATCTACCCATATGGAAAATGTGCTGCATTCATGTTTCAGAATATTCGTAATTTGTTGACTCGCTTGTTTTAGAGTGACTTTGCGGTGTGCCGCGGATTACTGCACTCTTACCCTCCCATCACCGTGGATGTTTTGGAGTTTTACCGAATACTTTGTGCTCTATACAAATTTATATGTAGAATATACACGTGGTACGTAAATGCATAGAACGAATTTGAATGCAGATACAAATACATTAATTCACTGTTTGCTGCATAGACTGCATACACTCATACACATCTAAATACAGCACGTGCAATTACAGTAAAGTGGATGTACACACATCTAAATCCTATCCAGCCCCATCACTTTACACCCACACACGTATCCGCTCTTTCTCTCCCCAATGTACGCATTTGGCTGAGAGCCCAAGACATTTCCTTTTGAGTTGCACTCTTGCACTAATGTTAAATTAATCATTTTAAATTACAAATTTATGGACTGTACATTTTGTTTAGGGGTTTTATTGCGCTTGCTGTGTGCGTTTGTGAAGCTCTGCATGTTTTGACACAAATCTCTCTTGAAATTAACTTTTAGTCTCAACCAGCTGTCACCTAGTTATAATCTATGTACAGCAGGTTGGCTCCCGTTATGGGTTATCAGGAGAGATGATCATTTCCCCTCTGCTTGTTTGTATGACCCTACACTGCTTTTAATCGGATATCACTGGTAAAATACTGACAAATTGCTACAAATACTAAACAGTCAGAATTCGTTCATCCTTTACCAAAACAAAGAAGTAAACTGCAGGCTTTGTCTAGCCGCAGGTTTCTGCCTGAATTCTCATCTGTGAGCAGTAGTGACGTATTGTTTCCGGCTGCTGGTCTTTATTTGCATACTTGGAACCAACCTGCGGTTTGTTCTCTATTGTCTAAACTGCCTCATATAGGGGGCATTGTGGGTGTTCATGGGGTGTGAAAATGTGAGTGTGATAATGTCTGCCTACATGTCTGGGTGACTTACAAATGCAAAATTTGTGTTAGAATGTGTACTGCACCTAACAATATTAAGTCACAGCGTTCCTTCTGCGCTTGGTATTATGTGAACTTTTGGCAGGATGTGATGTTAAAAATGAATAAAAACATTCCGCTACGCAGCTTGCAGAGGTCGTGTCAACCAGAACAGTTTAATGGCTTGTTTAAAACAAACGAGTTTGCCACTCTAGGGCAGACAGAAGAGAGCGGTGTGTGGGTGGAAGCGGAGAGCATTTGTCAATTAAACCACCGAACGGAGGAAATGTGACGATACCAGCTTTCATTGACTTCTTCAGGAACGTCACAGTTCTACATCTTTCCTCCGATACATTAATTAATCTCCCCCTCCTACTCATATCCATTGCACTCCTCGACTGAATGCAACGCATTCATAAATTATGTAAAATACTAATAAATATGATTTTGAAATATAGGTGAGGATTTTTGGGGTATCTTTTGTTTGAATTTATTACGGTTCTGTATGAATAAAATAAACTTCCGAAGTTGTAAATGGCATTCATGCTGGCACAACTTGCTATGACTTTACCTATTATGAAGCACAATAATTATGTTGAATTGTGTATTTTTAAATGTACATAAATACCATGCTGCATGCCTTTATTTCGCAATCTAAATAATAGTCTTTGTGAAATGTGCTTGGGGCAGTGCGCCTATTAATATACAGTGATCCCTCGTTTATCGCGGTTAATGGGGACCGGAACCCCTCGCGATAGGTGAAAATCCGCGAAGTAGGATTGGCCCCCCTAGGAATTTCCGTATATATGTGTGTGGGTACCAGAATGTTTAAAATATGTATATTTATACTTTATATATATATTTTACTTAAATCTATTTAATTATAAAACCTTAATATTATACATTCACTCTCTCTCTCTCTCTCATACCAATGACAGTAGTATCTTGAGACTTGACTCCAGTAATGACGACGACGACGACAATGACGATGACAATGACGACGATGACAGACCTGTGCAGTTCGATGAATGTGATGATGAATGATGATGATGATGGTGTTTCTGCACAGGTATAATGAGGCCTTTAAATCAGTTCGAAAAATCCGCGATGCACTGAGGCCGCGAAACTTGAACCGCGAAGTGGCGAGGGATTACTGTACACTTTTTCAGCCAGTGGTGGACATGTCATATTTATATAATAGGGACGAAGCTAATTTTGGATAACTCCTGCTTAATTCCCACAAAGTGTCACTCATTTTAACAACTC